TTACTTTTACTTTTACTTTTACTTAAGTACAAAAAATATCAGATACTTTAATACTTTTACTCAAGTAATATTCCTAAAGGAGACTTTAACTTTTACCAAAGTATTTTTTGATAAGATACTTGTACTTTTACTCAAGTATCACTTTGTGGTACTTTATACAACACTGCTTAAAACCTTTTTAGTTTTTCTTTTTAAAAATTGATTTAAAAATTATTCTGAATTAAATCAACAGTTTGAAAGTTTCTGCAGCTGCGACTCTAAAAGCTCATGTTGGAAACGCAGATTATTAAAGTTTTGTTTGTCTTTCTGAAACCGTCGTGTGCAGGCCTGGGCTCTGTTCAAAGGCAAGTTCCGGGAGGGGATCGACAAGCCGGACCCCCCCACCTGGAAGACCCGGCTGCGCTGCGCCCTCAACAAGAGCAACGACTTTGAAGAGCTGGTGGAGAGGAGCCAGTTGGACATCTCCGATCCGTACAAAGTGTACCGCATCATCCCGGAGGGGGCCAAGAAACGTCAGTCCTCTTTAAAAATAATTTATTATATTTCACTTTGATGCATCTGTTCGCTCATAATGTTTCTGTCCTGCATGCAGGACCCAGACAGGAGGACAGTCCTCTGAGTCCTGTCAGCTACCAGATGCACCCCTCCTACCCTGTGCCCTCTCAGGTGATTTTCATAAGGGGCGGGGCTTCAGAGGCGCTCAGTGTCTGATAGGCTGATGAATAAAGAGTGGCAGTTTGTGCAGCTTCAGTGAGCCGACAGACATCAAGCTTTAAAGCTGAACAAAAACAAAAACAAAAATAATCTGTTTCCTGCAAGAACAGAGGTGACGCTGAGCGCCGAACAACAGCTGAAGCAACCAAAAGCTAAAAGAACCAAAGCAGAAAACACATATTCTATTAACATATGTTATATATATTATTAGAAGGAGTAATTAGCAGTAGCAATATTTGCATTTGTATTCAAATTAACAGAATTAGCATTAGCAGATATAGCAGAATAATTATTAGTAGAATTAGCATAATAGGCTAAGTGATGATAGCATTAACAGCCATGCAATTAGCTTTAATAGTTATAGAAGTAACATTAGCATTGATCTCATTAGTTGTAGCAGGATTAGCATTAGCAGAATTAGCATTAGCAGTGTTAGTTTTAGCAGTATTAACAGCAGTAAAATTAACATTAGCATTGGTAGAATTAGCAGTAATGGAAGTAGTAGTAGTTTAACTGAAATTAGTGTATCATTAAATTCACTTTAGCAGAATTAGCAGTAGTAGTAGCATTACCAGCAGTATAACTAGCATTAACAGAATTAAGAAGTTTTTATATTAAGAATTAAATTATTTATAGTAGACTCAATATTACCAGTAGTAAAATTAGTTGAATTCACTAAATTGGCAATAATAGAATTAGCGGTATTAACAGTAGTAATGTTAGCGTTAATATTAGTAGAATTAGCATTAGCAGATATAGCAGAATTATTATTAGTAGAATTAGCATAATAYGCTAAGTGATGATAGCATTAACAGCCATGCAATTAGCTTTAATAGTTATAGAAGTAGCATTAGCATTGATATAATTAGTTGTAGCAGCATTAGCATTAGCAATAGTAAAATAAGTGCAAGTGGTAGTGTTAACGTTAGTAAAATTAGCTTTAACAGTTGTAGAGTTGCCATTAGCATTGTTATAATTAGTTGTAGCAGGATTAGCATTAACATTAGTAGAATTAGCATTAGCATTGTTATAATTAGTTGTAGCAGGATTAGCATTAGCATTAGTTGAATTAGCATTAGCAGTGTTAATGTTAATTTTACTGCTGTTAACACTACTAACACTAGCGTTGGTAGAATTAGCAGTAATGGAAGTAGTAGTAGGTTAATTGAAATTAGTTTATTATTAAATTCACTTTAGCAGAATTAGCAGTAGTAGTAGCATTACCAGCAGTATAACTAGCATTAACAGAATTAAGAAGTTTTCATATTAAGAATTACATAATTTATAGTAGACTCAGTATTACCAGTAGTAAAATTAGTTGAATTCGCTAAATTAGCAATAATAGAATTAGCGGTATTAAAAGTAGTAATGTTAGCATTAATATTAGTAGAATTAGCATTAGCAGATATAGCAGAATTATTATTAGTAGAATTAGCATAATAAGCTAAATGATGATAGCATTAACAGCCATGCAATTAGCTTTAAAAGTTATAGAAGTAACATTAGCATTGATATAATTAGTTGTAGCAGAATTAGCATTAGCAATAGTAAAATAAGTGCAAGTGGTAGCGTTAATGTTAGTAAAATTATCTTTAACAGTTGTAGAATTACCATTAGCATTGTTATAATTAGTTGTAGCAGGATTAGCATTAGCATAGTAGAATTAGCATTAGCAGTGTTAGTGTTAGTAGTATTAGCAGTNCAAGTAATATGTTAACTTTTACCAAAGTATTTTTATGATAAGATACTTGTACTTTTACTCAAGTATCACTTTGTGGTACTTTATACAACACTGCTTAAAACCTTTTTAGTTTTTCTTTTTAAAAATTGATTTAAAAATTATTCTGAATTAAATCAACAGTTTGAAAGTTTCTGCAGCTGCGACTCTAAAAGCTCATGTTGGAAACGCAGATTATTAAAGTTTTGTTTGTCTTTCTGAAACCGTCGTGTGCAGGCCTGGGCTCTGTTCAAAGGCAAGTTCCGGGAGGGGATCGACAAGCCGGACCCCCCCACCTGGAAGACCCGGCTGCGCTGCGCCCTCAACAAGAGCAACGACTTTGAAGAGCTGGTGGAGAGGAGCCAGTTGGACATCTCCGATCCGTACAAAGTGTACCGCATCATCCCGGAGGGGGCCAAGAAACGTCAGTCCTCTTTAAAAATAATTTATTATATTTCACTTTGATGCATCTGTTCGCTCATAATGTTTCTGTCCTGCATGCAGGACCCAGACAGGAGGACAGTCCTCTGAGTCCTGTCAGCTACCAGATGCACCCCTCCTACCCTGTGCCCTCTCAGGTGATTTTCATAAGGGGCGGGGCTTCAGAGGCGCTCAGTGTCTGATAGGCTGATGAATAAAGAGTGGCAGTTTGTGCAGCTTCAGTGAGCCGACAGACATCAAGCTTTAAAGCTGAACAAAAACAAAAACAAAAATAATCTGTTTCCTGCAAGAACAGAGGTGACGCTGAGCGCCGAACAACAGCTGAAGCAACCAAAAGCTAAAAGAACCAAAGCAGAAAACACATATTCTATTAACATATGTTATATATATTATTAGAAGGAGTAATTAGCAGTAGCAATATTTGCATTTGTATTCAAATTAACAGAATTAGCATTAGCAGATATAGCAGAATAATTATTAGTAGAATTAGCATAATAGGCTAAGTGATGATAGCATTAACAGCCATGCAATTAGCTTTAATAGTTATAGAAGTAACATTAGCATTGATCTCATTAGTTGTAGCAGGATTAGCATTAGCAGAATTAGCATTAGCAGTGTTAGTTTTAGCAGTATTAACAGCAGTAAAATTAACATTAGCATTGGTAGAATTAGCAGTAATGGAAGTAGTAGTAGTTTAACTGAAATTAGTGTATCATTAAATTCACTTTAGCAGAATTAGCAGTAGTAGTAGCATTACCAGCAGTATAACTAGCATTAACAGAATTAAGAAGTTTTTATATTAAGAATTAAATTATTTATAGTAGACTCAATATTACCAGTAGTAAAATTAGTTGAATTCGCTAAATTGGCAATAATAGAATTAGCGGTATTAACAGTAGTAATGTTAGCATTAATATTAGTAGAATTAGCATTAGCAGATATAGCAGAATTATTATTAGTAAAATTAGCATAATAGGCTAAGTGATGATAGCATTAACAGCCATGCAATTAGCTTTAATAGTTATAGAAGTAACATTAGCATTGTTATAATTAGTTGTAGCAGGATTAGCATTAGCATTAGTAGAATTAGCATTAGCAGTGTTAGTGTTAGCAGTATTAACAGCAGTAAAATTAACATTAGCGTTGGTAGAATTAGCAGTGATGGAAGTAGTAGTAGGTTAATTGAAATTAATTTATTATTAAATTCACTTTAGCAGAATTAGCAGTAGTAGTAGCATTACGAGCAGTATAACTAGCATTAACAGAATTAAGAAGTTTTCATATTAAGAATTAAATTATTTATAGTAGACTCAATATTACCAGTAGTAAAATTAGTTGAATTCGCRAAATTAGCAATAATAGAATTAGTGGTATTAACAGTAGTAATGTTAGCATTAATATTAGTAGAATTAACATTACTAGAATAGTTGAATTAGCAGTTTTAATGTAATTAGAATTGGCATGAATTGAATTATCAATGCAATCTGCTGGCTTCTGTGGGTCTCATATTTATAAATAAAGGTAAATATGTTTAGAAAGTATTAAAGTTTTTTTAAAAAAATCTTCTGTTAAAGCAGCATTTAATAGTTTGAATGATTGTTACAATAAATAAAATCAGGATTTAGATTTTTAGAGCTGTTTTAAAGCCAACTATTTCATGTTTTATAATAAAAAAAATTACCTATGGTCCGTTTTTGTCACCAGATGCAACAGTACATGCCGAACCCAGAATGCACCTGGAGAGACTACTGTCCGGAGCAGGCGTCTCTGCCAGACCTCCCCTTCACTCAGTGTCCCTGTCCCCCCCGCAGCCTGTCCTGGCAGCCGCCATCCATGGAGAATGGTACGCCACCGTGCCCGGACCTGAAACGATGAATGAAAACAAACATTTTTCATCTCTAACACGTTTCCTTTGACCTCTGCAGGGTACCAGCTCAGAGCGTCCATCTACTCGTACGGCCCCGCCCCCGTTGACAGTCAGTCCTCGCCGTTTTCGCTGGACGCCAGCATCAGATCAGCCGAGGCGCTCTCAGGTACAACAAACATCAGCTCGTCTTCTTGTAGAGTGTCTTGAGAGCAACATTTAATACGGTTCAGGATTACCTTTTTTATTCTGTATTCATGGTTTTTACCTTTGAGTTAACAGGAACTAAAGGTTATTTTAAGAAGGAATATTTTACCTTCTCATCAAGCAAACAATAAATGGCGTACAATAAAGGTTAAAAAAGACTATAAAGTCGTGGATTGGTGCCGCCATCTTTGCTTCTCAACAAGATCCAAAAATACAACCAAAGTTTCAGCTTTAGTCTGAGGCTTTGTTCTCACATGATTAGACGTTTTCTAGCTTCTAAAATTTGAAATGTGACACAAATCTGTCTACACAGTTCCTGTTTCCTCAAAAGCAAAGAGTTTCGTTAATGACTGACTGACTGCAGAGAGAGTTTTGTTCCATGTCTACCTGCTGCAGGCCTGACAGCCTCAGGTACAAACACAGGCCTTACTACAGATTAGGGTTGGGCATAATCGTATTGTGTGCGATTAACCGTCAGAAAAACATTAATCGATTATTTTTTGGCACTTGACAATTAATACGATTAACGCCAGCAGGCAGAGTCCACTCGGTGCTTAAAAAAAAGTTCTGTAATTTATTTATCTATCAACACAATTTAAAATATGATGTATAGCCTGAAGTCTGTAATTTTGACACAATTTGGAACAGATTTTTACAAAGAGCAAATCTTTCCCACTAAATTGGTCATGTGACCAGGACATAAGGGTGTCCAGGGACTCCAGGGGATRAATCGTCAAATTAATCATTATCGGCTGAATACCACAATTAATCATGATTAATTTTTTTTGCCAATATTGCCCAACCCTACTACAGATGTAGCAATACATCGACACATTGATTAAATAATTAATGATCCAATTACATTGAAGCAAAATGAAAACATTGATTCACATAATCATTATCTGCCCGTCTCGCKCAATCATTCATGTAAATCAGCAGTTTTATCACGATATATTGATTCGTTTTGATGATGATACAATGTTTATCAAGAGCAGTTTGTCGTGATACAATTTCATTTCAATTTAATTCAAATCTGTGATAGAGAACCATCATATTTTCATCCATATATATATATATGTATATTTTTTATTTAACCTTTATTTATCCAAGTAAACTGTTTGAGAACCACTTCTCATTTATAAATTTATGATCTGGCAATTATATCGTGATCCAAACCAATCCATTAATCGTATGGTGATCCAAACCAATCGATAAATTGGATCGTGATCCAAACCAATTGATAAATTGTATTGTGATCCAAAGAAATCAATAAATCGCATCGTGATCCAAACCAATCCATAAATCTTATCGTGATCCAAACCAATCCATAAATCGTATCGTGATCCAAACCAATTGATACGTCGTTTAGTGATCCAAACCAATCGATAAATCGTTTAGTGATCCAAACCAATCGATACGTTGTTTAGTGATCCAAACCAATCGATATATCATATCGTGATCCAAACGATAAATCGTGTCATGATCCAAACCAATCGATAAATCGTTTAATGATCCAAACCAATCGATAAATCGTTTATTGATCCAAACCAATCGATAGTGCATTGTGACAAAGCTGCTGATATAAAATCCTGCACCATGCTACACCTGAGCCATCAGAGTATAAATAATGTGTTGCTGATCAAACTGAATCCTCCTCATTTCTAACCAGACTACCGTCTTCACGTCTCCGTGTTTTTACGGGACGCTCTGGTGAGGGAGGTGACCACGTCCAGTCTGGAGGGCTGCCACATCACCCCGTGCCCCCCGGAGAAGCACTACCTGACGCCCGGAGGCCCAGAAATCGTCCCYCTGCCGGTGGACAACCTCTCCACCCCGAGGAGGGGGGACGAGTGTCCGCCGAGCCCGCCGTCCGCCCTGGATAAGGGCGTCCAGCTCTGGATGGGCGCCGATGGACTCTACGCCCGCAGGATGTGCCAGAGCCGGGTGTACTGGGAGGGCGGCCCGTCGCCGTACGGAGACAAACCCAACAAGCTGGAGAAAGACGTCATCTGCAGACTTCTGCACACGCAGGACTACCTGACAGGTGAGACGATCGTCTAGACCTGGGATTAAACTAAAGAAGTGAGAGGACCAGGCTGAACCTGACAGACGGTCTGCAACCAACCGTGTGTCATTTCCTGTTTTTAGCTGAGCTTTAGAGAAACACTGACTCGTTTTAAATCAGACCTTTGAAACAAACTTTACAGTTTTTGATTCTGACACATTTAGTTTAAAAACCAAAGGACTGCCAGCTCATTTACTGGAAGGGGCACTTTGAAGTGTTGGAACTGTGGTCTTCAGGCAGCATTTCACGATAAGCTGAAGGTCACATGACTTTCTGCTGCGCCACATCATCCCCGCCCACACGCCCCAGCAGCCCCAGCTGTGACTGACAGCTAAAAGCATTTACATACTCAGTGTGACCTGGACTTTCCATTCGAATCACCCCAAATGTCAGGGTGCGGCTTAGAAAGAAATTCTTTTGAAATCTTCTCAGATGCTCTGAAGATATCAGAGRCGTTAATGTTGTGAACTTAAATCTTTTTTTTTGTTTGTTTGTTTCTTCCCCAACAGAGATCCAGAGTTACGGGCTCCACGGTCGGCCGCCGTCTCGATTCCAGGTCCTGCTGAGTTTCGGAGACGAGTGTCTGGACCCGCAGAGACAAAGACGGACGCTGACTGTCCAGGTGAAACTTCACGTCCACAGGGTTAAAATCCTAAAATAAATAATTTAAAAAAAAAAGATCCAAAACTGAGAAATGACATTTGAAAYTCTGCATAAGCTTTTATGTGATCAGGGCTGGTTCAACCAAACTAAACAAACCGCAACTTTTTAAAAAGTTTTTCATTGATTTTGAGATCTAAATGTTAAATTTAGTCAAAGAAGGTTTCTTTGAATTAGAGGTGCTCGATATTGACTTTTTGCCAATATTRGATACGTCAATATTGTTCAACACTTTATTTTCGATTCCGATATTAACCTATATTACAAGCCGATATTGAGGTGACATCACATAACTCCTGTCAGGGACATTATGCCTGCTTTTTGATACCCCACTGGATGCATTCCATGGATAAACATTGTCTGTACAAAAATAAAAACCATTAACCTGAAGTTAGGGAAAAAGTGCCATATTTATTTTTAACATTTTGTCTCAAACAATAGTTTGGATCATGTTCTCCCAGAGATAATCCAGTTTGATGATGTCATCAATCGTGCGCCGGTGAACGTCTCTGGACCAATAGTATTTCTTAATGCATTTTGGTCAAACCCAGGCTTTTGTCAGAAGAAAAACCGATACCGATATGTAGAGATTTTACATTTTTATGCTAATATCGGACCGATAATATCTGTAGGCCAATATTATCGGACATTCCTACTTTAAGTGTGAGTAAATGTTCGGGGTGTAAATCAGAAGCTTTATCACGATATGATATTATACTGGTTTGTTTGGATGACGATARGATGTTTATCGGTATCAAGTCTGGATGGGAGACTGATGACGTYAAGATTCAACACAATCTGCTGGCTTCCTTAGATTTGTGTTATTTGTTGTGTACACAGCCCTGAGATGCTTGTTGTGACTTGGTGCTGTGAAGTGAGTTATCAATTGGACATACGACAACATTATGGATATATWTTTGTTTTGCCTTGATGTAATTGTACATCAAGGCAAAACAAAAATATATCCATATCGTCATTGTACGTTGTACGGTTGATTCAGTAATCAATTATTTATTCAAATATATTGTTACACCCCTGGTAAACGGTGATTTATTAAAGTCCTGCCTGTATATTTGCAGGTGGAGCCGTTGCTCTCCAGGCAGCTCCTGTACTACGCCCAGCAGACAGCGGGCAGCCACTACTACCGCAGCTACGAGCACCCCGGAGTGACGGAGCACATTAACGCAACTGAGGACTACCAAAGAGCGATCACGCACCACCACAGCAGCGCCATGCAGGAGTGACCTCCCCACCCCCAACACACACACACACCCAAGAGCCATTTGAGAGACTAACTCATTAAAAAACGTTCACCGTTCAGCCGAACTGGACGCTAAACTCCGGGATGGATAGAGGCAAACGTGGGCGATGTTGTACAGGAAACCATGAACGTTTCATTAGCCCCATTGTCGATTCTGTTTGGACGCACGATTTATTTTTTCGTACTATATGAAACTGACAGCTGAGGCGATTGTACTGAAGAAAACAGCAACGAGGACTTCTGTGCCTTGAATGAATAATGCAAAACACACGTTTACTTTTATATATGGAGGTAGAACATCTTGAAATCTCAGGTATATCTAGCAGCTAGTTAGCTTAGCACAACAGAAACATTTTAAGGTTCTGGGAACAACTAGCAGCTAGTTAGTTAAACTTAAACATCTTTAAAATTCAGGGAACAACTAGCAGTTTGTTAGCTTAGCACAACATAAACATTTTAAGATTCAGGGAACAACTAGCAGCTAGTTAGTTAAACTTAACATAAACATCTTTAAAATTCAGGGAACAACTAGCAGTTAGTTAGTTAAACTTAAACAAACATCTTTAAAATTTAGGGAACAACTAGCAGCTAGTTAGCTTAGCACAACATAAACATCTTAAATATCCAGGGAAAACTAGCAGCTAGTTAGCAAAGCTTAGCACAACATAAACTTTAAAATTCAGGGAACTACTAGAAGCTAGTTAGCTAAACTTAAACATCTTTAAAATTCAGAGAATAACTATTAGCTAGTTAGCTAAGTTTAACATAAACATCTTTAAAAGTCAGGGAACTAGAAGCTAGTTACTAGAAGCTAGTTAGCTTAGCACAACATAAACATCTTTAAAATTCAGGGAACAACTAAAAGCTAGTTAGCTTAGCACAACATAAACACCTTTAAAATTCAGGGAACAACTAGCAGCTAGTTAGCTAAGTTTAACATAAACATCTTTAAAATTCAGGGAACAACTAGAAGCTAGTTAGCTTAGCACAACATAAACATCTTTAAAATTCAGGGAACAACTAGCAGCTAGTTAGCTAAGTTTAACATAAACATCTTTAAAATTCAGGGAACAACTAGCAGCTAGTTAGCTAAGTTTAACATAAACATCTTTAAAATTCAGGGAACAACTAGCAGTTTAGCGCAATATAAATATTCTGAAATCCAAGGAGCAACTAGCAGCTAATTAGCCTAGCTTAGCATAATGATTGAATCTTATAAAATCAATATGCTTCGCTTTGAACTGCCAAACTTTATTGTAAAACTGGATCTTTCCATTGTTAAGTTGTTAAAACAGACATTTAGGAATTTTGTGTTTTTTTTTCCATTGAGTTAAAGAAGCTTACTCTGGTTTAATACTGACTGTACAGATTTTCTTATGTATTTTTTTGAAAAATAACTAATCCACTCTTTTAACAGAACCATTTCTAACCTTTTGTAAATATTTTTTATTGCTAGTAGACACTATCACCACTGTTAAATAAAAATATCAATGCCTTATATTTGGTGTTTTTGTACAAGAAACTCGGGGAGCAGAGGTTGAAAAAGCTTTCTCACATGGACTTATAATACGAATGTTTCTTTTTGTACAAGTAAAGCTTGTATTTGTAAAAAAAATCTATGATAATAAAACAGACAACTACGAAACGACAGGCTGTGTTCATAAGAATGTCTTCGCAGCAGTACTACATGTGCGTGGTTTGAACAGGAAGTGTGGTTTACATGCAGGATGAAGCTGGTTAATCAAACACTTGGTAATCACAAACACTGTCTGCGATGACATCAGAGAGGGAGGAAGAGGTCGGCTATGCTTTCCGCGTAGAGCTGAGGAGAAAAACTTCCTGGCTTGTTTCCATTTTCGTGGGGAAAAAATGAAACCCAGAAGCAAAACAAAAATCCAGAAGATAGAAGAAAAACAATTATATTTTTACTTATACTTATACTATTATATTTATACTTTTACAAAATAATGCAATTTAAGGCCAAATTCTACCTTTTTTTTTTTTACCGTATTTGTGACCCGGTCAACCAAATTTCAATTCCTGAGATGACTATGTAAAGCTGCCAATTAATCCAAAGTGCACATTTTTGGACAGCAGGAGAAGTACATAAATAAAAGCCACGCATGCACAGACAGAGAACATGCAAACTTTGTGCAAAAAAGCTCCAGGAGTTGAATCTGTCACTTTCATAATGCAAACCATCCGTACTAAACTAATGCACCACTGCTTAAAATAATTAAAAGTCAAAACAGCCAAAGTACTCACAAATTACAAACATTTATGTGTACTATGATGCAGTATTTTACCAACTCCTGTGATATTTATTTTGCTTTTAATTAGTATAGCAACACATGAAAGGTCTTTCATGGTGAAAGACCTTTGGTGAAAATAACCTTTGAACTAAATTTAGTCAAAGCGGGGTTGTGTGGAATACTTATGAACAAGCACRGTCTTACCTGCAACAGACTGTGGTAAGATGGTTTGACAAATCAGGAGATGTGGAGTCAAGACAACGGGTACAAAATTTAAGTCGTCTTGAACAAATCAAAGTCAAAATGTTTAAGATTTTGCTTCGGAAATTTGATGTAACGGATTAAAAACTGGTCCTAACAGCAGAGGATGTTTGCTTTTAGTTAAAAGATAAAGAAAATGAAACCACTTTGGGAATGATATCCTGTGGGGTTCCTCAGGGCCCGATTCTCGAACCACTTCAGTTTTCATTGTACCTGCTCCCTTTGGGGGTCTCTTCAGAGTAAACATGCCATTTTCCTTCCATTGCTAAGCTAACAGTTCCTTCCTTTAAAGCCAAATAGATCTTACTCCATTCAACATCAGCTAAAATATCTGTGACAACAAGGTTTTGACGGCTTTGTACGTTTTACCAGTGGTGGGCACAGCTAACAAAAGTTCCCTTTGCTAACTCATAATCAGCTAACTAAAAATTTAGCTTCTGTAATGCTAAACATGTAAGAAAGAGTGGAAGCTAATGCTAACACCTAACCGCTAAATGCTAATGAGACTGTCAGTCTGTGTCACAGGTCGTAGTGTCACTTTGTCTTCTGAGCTGAAGACAGGTGGGACTGACACAAACTTGCTGATGTTAGCTTGTTAGTTAGCTGTTAGCGGAATAAAGTTGGCAAAATCCAATCTAGCTGACGTTAATTGGTCTGCTAAGTTATTAATGTTAGTGGAAAAGGTAATCCGCTAAATGAAAAATTACAGTAGTTCTGCTATTAAATGTTAGCAGACTTAAAGTTGACAAAACCTGAGTGGAAGCTAACTGATCCACTAATGGTTTTCAAAGTTAGTAAAAAGCTAATCTGCTAAACGATACATTTTGCTATTAGCTGATTAGCTGAATTATGCCCATCATAAGATTTTAAGCTTTAATAAAAAAAAAACTTATCAAGTAAAAACACACAAGACACTGTTGTGGCTCAAACTTCCTGTTGACACGGTGCATCAAAGCTTTATTTTTGCTGTCTGCAAGACAATATTTCCCCAATCACGGTGAGCAAATCACATCTGATGCATTTATTTTCTCCACCCCTTCTTTGCTCAGCACAACCTCGCAGTTGCAAAAACATATTTGTTGTCGTCTTTTCTCCTGAATGGAACATAGAATAAAAATAAAAACAAAAGTTTGATCGAAAAGAAAAAAGTCCCCGTTTTCTCCTCCCTTACTGTAAACAGAGCGCCGGCGAGGAGAGGAGCTTTGAACTCGTTTGGTGAATGAATCCGTGGGAGGACCGAGCTAAGTTTAGAACAGAGACGATCAAAACAACTCTACAGCTCTTCGTGGCTTTCCCCTACGTGTCGATGGGAAACCAAGCTGACAAAAAAAAAAAAAAAAGGCTGAGGTGTGTGAACGATAGCAAAAGGCTGCAAAAGACAGAGCTACGATTGCGGCTTGTACATTCAGAAGATGAGTCTTATCGGACCGACCCCTTCGACTCTGCCCTCAATTACCCTCCTGAGCTAAAGCCGCACCCTTTCTCCTCTACAACAGCCAAAGAGCTCGCTGCTACCCACAACCACCCTCAACTGCTGGTCTGAACAACGACCTGAGCCGTCCCCACCCTGCGCACACCCAGGACGCCCCCCGCCCCACCCACACCTCAGCCCAAGAGGAGCTGACACGATGAAGAGATGAGCTGGAGCTCCAGAGATGAATAGCCGAAGCTTCTGGTTTCAGCCAACCGTCTGCAAACCAACGTTTATCCCAAGGTGTCAAACTGAATTTACATCTTAAGACTAGAAGAGAACTCGTAAAAAAAATACTTTAAAACTCTGCAGTAAACGTCACAATCGAGGAGTCTCAGAGATCGGTTTTGACAAAAGTTGTATTTTAATGCAGGGCCGCTAAAATCATTCACCAAAAACATCAATTTTTATTTTTACCATTGAAGARGCTCAAAAACCACAACGTCTGTCTGGTCTGAGTTTAAAATGAAGAGTCATCCAGGTTTTTTATGTCTCTATATGAATTTATAATCTAAGCAACAGACTGGACTCWTCAGGTTTCATGTATAAATATAACAGTCATCAGCGTAACGTTGAATTTATGTTGCAGCTTCTTTCCTAAATGGTTTAAAGCCGACGCATTTTCACTGAGTGGGCCTCAAAGCGTCAGCTGTAATCAACTTCAACTAAATGTCCCGTTCCTGAGCCCCGCTAACCAACACTAACTGACCTCTACCTGGTGTTTCCTGCATAGAAACAGCGTTTAACACGTCTTGTAAACACTGAAAAGTTCTATGTGTATGACTGACTATATGTGAAATAAATAATAAAGAAATACTATTAAAAGAAGAAGTTTAACTCACTACTGAGTTGTGGTGAGTAGCTGCCTTGAATTCTGAACTCTCCCGCTTCCCAGTGAACTCCATCCATCCATCCATTTTCTGTATACGCTTCTTCCTTTTCAA